AGAGACTCAGGTCCCTGGGACTATATTGGATCTGTCTCTGAAGCTGAAAAACAAAAGGCGGAGGAGATAGTTGGCTCTAAGTGACCAATCTCAGCCATCTTTGTCAGAAATCCTAAATCACAGGAGAAGGGTGGGAAGAAAGGATATGATTATTTCCTGTTCTATTTTCCATAAGAGGTGAGAATGACAAGGACCTCTCTTCCAACTCCTCTTCAGGGCGTGAGGAGGGTTAGCAGGAGAAGAAGGGCTGGGAGCCCTGAGGTCTCCTGTAAGACCTCATATCTCACAGTCAAGGACTAAGATTTAGGATTAAAGATTTTAGTAGGATAGCTCTAAACCAGGATTAGCAAGCAAAGCTAGGGTGTAAATTCCTGGAATCTGACTGGGACCCTGGCAGTGAAAGCTGGGACTGTTGAAAACCCAATTTAAGTGTTTGCTACTCATGTAGCGTGCAGGGCCAAGATAACTAGATCCCAGGACAGGCAGTTTGGCAGTGAGAACAAAAGGAAGAGACTGGGACCAAGCTGACTAGATCCCTTGAGAGAGAAGGGTGGGTATTGGGAGGAAAAATGAGGACTGGGGGAACCCAGGAGGCTGGGTTGGAATAGCAGCAAGTCATAATTCCAGGATCTCTGTTCACCCTCCTCTTCCTCTTTCCTCTATCAGGCAGAAGAGAGGGAAGGAGGGGGCTGGAGAAGTAGCCACATGAATACATTCAGGGCCAGACAGACACAGGAATGGTGGAGGAGAGAGGAATTTAGTGCTGCATTGGCCCTGGTGGGGGCTGGGAAGGGTCAGGAGGCTGGGGAGGGGTGGTGGGGGTCGGTCCTAGGGTTGCACGACGCCGTCCTTTGCGATGACCACGTACACAGTGTGTATGACCACAGCCCTCTTCTTCCTCCTCATCACTTTCCGTGGAGCTCTCACCAAACGCCCGAGGTTTCTCATAAATACAGCAGCCTAGATTTAGAGGGAGGAGCCCAGTTAAAGAGGAGGAAGGGTAAGATGTATAGTCAGATCCATTCCCACTCAAACTCAGCGAAAATTCCTATTTTCTCCTACGTTCCAGGATCCACCTTCCCCAGGCCCACCCTCTGGGACTCAGGCCCCACTCCTCTTGTCCTCTTAGAGAGCCATGAATTCAAAGCCCTACTTCTCCCACCTCTGATACTTCTTGTCATCAGACCTAGGCAATTCCAGTTCTAGCCCTTTCCTACCTCTTTCCCTGATACCACAGAACCACCAAAAAAGCGACAAAACCATGAGCATCTGGGGGCTTCTGGAAAGCCAGTGGATATGAGCAGATACAAGATACGCTGAAGGGAGCCAGAACTCCAGGGCTACTGCGGGCCAACAATTACTCACATTTTGATGAGCGGCGGCCCATGTGTTCATTGTCCACGGTGTCACTTGTCCATTCCACCTTTTTCTCTGGCTTCCGTTTCCGAAGTTTGATGGTAAGGCTCCGGTTCTCCTAGAAGGTTAAGGATGAGCGTACCTATCTAGTCCCCTCCTACTAACCTTTCCCACTCCCTCCCAGGGAACCTCCTCTCTTATCTTCTTCAGCTCAATCAGTACCACAGACATAGCACCAGGGGAGTTGCGAGAAGATAAAACAGAACAGGTCTTTGACCTCAGACAGTCCCTTGAGGAATAAGTATTATTTCCTGTTCTTATATCACCAGTATAAGAGAAGGCACAATTCCTGACCTAGGGAAGGTTCCAGCAACTCTTCAAAGGAAAATATAATCCTCGCTGTTTCTCCGTCTTCCTCCCCACATCATCCTTGGTAGTATTAATACATGAAAATTACTTTTCAGTCCCCAGCACCTAATCTTTGATCTCCCTTTTTCCAGATCCCCTCTTCTTTTTCCCATTAAACAAACAAACAAACAAAACCTCTCTCATTCTCAAGCTCCAGCTCTCTCTACCTCTTATCCACCTATTCTCTGGCATCCTGGCATCTCTAGTAGCAAGTATTATTAATCTATTAATTACCAAGCTCCCTTTAATCCAAGAGTATTAAGCCCAACACAATCTTCTCCCTTTGAAGGCAACTTAACATGTTTTTGGAAAAATACTTCTTGTTTCTCCATTTACATCTTTGCTCTCTGATTTCTCAAAATGCCTCTTTTCATCTCCTTTTCTTGTTTCCTCATTCCTGCTACTTCCTTTTACATTCATCCATTCAATAAATATTTATTTAAATATAAGCATGGATAATATTGATAAGTTGGCCTCCAACCATGCTTTCTTACACTACCTTTGACTTCCTCCCAACATCTTCCTGGCTCCTTAATCCTCAATTTCCCATTCGTTCATTACTTATACACATAACCACCCCAAGCAGCAACACCTATATCCTAACTGTACCTCCCTATTACATGATCCTTGACCAGCCTCCTGCACCATCTCTGCCACTCTAAATAGCTCCAATACCTTCCGATTCTCCCAGCCCTAGATATTCAACCCCACACCTCCCATATTCCCAGGCCCAGTTCCTCCAACAACTCTTCTAATCCCTGTCCCCTCCCTCCCAGTATCTCCCAGACCCCTAAACAGCACCGCCCCCCCGCCTTTCTCACGGGCTCGGTTGTCACGGTAACCGTTGTCTCAGTGACGGTCTCGCTCAGCCCAGCCCCTGCCTCGGCCATGGCTAAGGCTCAGGAGAGGGAGGAGAGGAGGAAAGAGGATGGGATGAGACACCCTTCCCTTTTTCTGTCTCTGAGGTCTAAGAGAAGCGGTATCGGATTCAGAGTGGTAGCCAGAATCCTCCACCTTCTTTTTTCCCCCCTCCTCCTGGGCCTCCGTTTCTCCACCCCTGGGGATAACCTGGCCAACCCCACTTCCGGCTCTCCGCTTCCGGGTGTGACGCACGCTGCTGTCCCCCTTTTTCCCTTCCGCGGCACCAAATTCGTCAAAGCGCAGGCGTCGCTGGATTAGTTCCGCCGTAACGTGACGGCGCGCAGGCGCTGAAAGAAAAAGAAACAAATTTGGCGGAAGGGGTGTCACTGCGGGTGTGGGAGGCGGAGGGAGACTCAAGGGCAGCACGCGTACTCACAGCCTAGCGGAAGCAGAAGGGGCGCCCAGATGAGTAGGGCCGGGCCAGACGCTGCAGAGTGGGTGTGGCGAGGGCGGAGTTGTGTGCCCCAAGCTGAGTCCTGCTGCAGATTTCGATTTACCTTGTCTGGGTAGCTGGACCGGCGAGGAAACTTAAGGAGCAATAGTAATGACCCTACCGCGGCCTATTTCCCTATCCTTGTTTGGTCTGGGTTTTTCTAATGAAAACGGGATGTGGGAGCAATTGGAAACACACTTAAGAGTCAAGCGATGTGGTTCTAGCCCTCGCCTTGTGCCTGTAGGTGTTTGAGCAGTTCGGTTTAGTGCACGTTCAGCGTGGGTTTTTTTTTCAGTCACTGTGCTAAGCCTTGAAGATGGAGGCGCCTAAGATGCTCAGACCTTGCCTGTTAGCGCCCAGTCTAGTAGAAAAGACAGGCATGCTGAAAACTAACAAAAATATGAAACGTTGGGGCATTAACAAATGCCAAGTCGGATTTGTAAATCTGAATGTAGTTACATACTGCCAACATATTCATTCTCTCTGGGGTGATGAGTATGATGAGGCAGAGAAATGGTCGTAAATTGCAGTATAGGCCATTTTATAAAAATATATGCAGGTTTCTTAGAGAGCAAAAGAAAGTGGTAAAACAAGAACCAGGAAGGCCAAGTAGGTTTTTTTAGAAGAGCAGCTTAAAAAGTTGTAGATGTGTGCACTACAGGAAATGGAGTTTTGTACCGCTTGAATCTGAGGAAGTGCCAGATGAGGCTTGACAGGTAGGCAGTGGTTATACGGAAGGACCTGTATGCTTTGCTAAGAAATTGAGCTTAATCCAATCACTGTTATGGGCCAGAGAAAGGCTTAAAGTAGGGTAAAAACGTGAACAGGTGTGTTTCAGATTTCAGGCGTGGGTCAGGAAAGTCAACTGCCAGAACAGTTGAAATGTACAATGGGGAAGACTGCACTGCCCATTCTCCAGGTTGCTGTGGGGGTCAAACAAGATAGCTACGTTTGAGAGCTCTGAATAAGTATATGAAGGGCCACACAATTATATGGTAATTACTACAGTAACCCCTTGATCACAATTTAAGCCAAGGAATGCAGGACCTGAGTATGTATTTGTTCCTCTTGAAAGTTTTTGGTTCAAACAGAAAAAAGCAAGATATAGTTCAGCATGTCTAGTATAGTCCATTAAAAAAAACCAAACGCATGTATAGCAACACACATATACAGAGCCACATATATATTCACAAGCACAGATACACAATACAATTTGGTTATCTCTGTGGAGTAGGATTCCTTGTGACTTTAGTTTTTTCTTTCTATCTTTCTATGTAAGAATCTATTATAATAGATATACAATTGATCCTTGAACAACATGGGGGTAAGGGGTGCTGACCCTCTGAACAGCCAAAAGTCCATATATAACTTTTTTGACTCCCCCAAAACTTAACTACTATTGACCAGATGCCTTACCAATAACATAAACAGTTGATTAACACATATTTTGTATGTTATATGTATTATATACTGCAATCTTACAATCAAGTAAGCTAGAGAAAACATTAAGAAAATCATAAGGAAAAGAAAATATATTTACTCTTCATTAAGTAGAAGTTGATCACATTTTTATGTTGAGTAGGCTCAGGAAGAGGAAAAGGAGGGCTTAAATGTGCTGCTATCTTATGGGTATCAGAAGTGGAAGAAAATCCACATATATGTAGAATCAAGCAGTTCAAACCTGTGGTGTTCAAGGGTCAACTGTATATTGTATTTATCTCAATAGTAATAAAATACCTATAGTGATCACTTAGTATCAGTTTTTTTGCTGTCCAAATTTATATGCTAAAGAGATCTGGTTAAAATTTCTGTTAAATGTCTCACTATCCAAATCCCTAGTTTTTCTTAACCTAAACTCAGGAACCAAATAGATTTAAATAGTATGGCAATACTTACAATTGCTTTTTGTTTATATTAGCCTAATTCCTGACTCTACTTTTTTGTCCTTATTTTTCCATCTTTTCTTTTTCATGTATCTCTGTAAACTCATTTAAATTCCTTTTGGAATAAGACAGATTATAAGTAACATACATATGTCAGGGTCTTTTAGGAAAACATAACTTTAATAAGGAAATTCAATTAAGGGTAGGAGTACTCCAGGAACAACGGTAATCCCCACATGATGATCTGACTCTCTTCTAGGAGCAACACATTGCAACCAGATGGGATGGACAAGGCATCTAAAAACCCAGTATCCTTCACCTTCCAAAAGGAGGGAGGGACTGTTGAGTTGCCCAGGAAAAAGGTCAAGAGTCTTCCTTCTCCTGGAACCTATGAGGAAAGAAAGGACTTGTTATATTCACCAAAAGATGAGTTTCTAGTAGTATAAGATAAGATATGCAATCAAATAACCTAGGAAGGACTTTTATTTATGACATCATTGAGGACTGGCTCCCCTAAACAAGCCTCCAATTCTAATTCCAAGACAACTAAAAATTCTGGGATTAAAAATATATCCAATGAATTATAACCTTAAAGCAAAGATGTCTTAGGACACAGAAAGCACTAGCTGTAAAAGAAAAAAAAAAAGGATAAGCTGGACCTTATAAAAACTTAAAACTTCTGCTCATTTAAAGAGGGTTAAGAAAATAAGTAGGCAAGCCACAGGCTGGGAAAAAAATCTTCTTCTTTTAATTTTTTTAATTTTTTTTTTTGGTAAAATGACAATCAGTGATAGGAAAAAAATACTTTTAAAAGATATATCTGACTATGAATATTTTTAATCTTTTGATGAGATGGCAAGAAAGTAAAGGCAATCTTCATACTGGTTAAAAGTTCTGTAAAATCAGAAATCCAGACAGTGAAGTTAAAACTGATGTCGCTATGAAATGTGACAGTGACACTATGGTGCCGCCCTTTATACTGTTGCAACAGTCACTGGAAGCATAGGAAATGAGGGACAAAATGTGTAAGGTTGATAGGAGATCCTGTGCATAAATTTGGGAACTGCAAAAGGCTGCCCTTTTTTGTAAAAGTGAGTAAGAAAAGAAAAAATTCAACTCTATAGAAGGGGAATTTGACTGTCTCAGTAGGTAGAAAGAGAGAAAACTCTCTCCTGAGAATTTCTAACCATAAGCTAGCCCTTACATGGATTTGCAGCTCAAATTCATACTATCTGTCTGCTCCAAAAAACATGAAGCCAAGAATTTATTTAAAGTAATTCCAGCTTGATAGTGCTTCAAGGCACCTAGAAAAGAAACACAAATGCTGAGAATACAGCACTTACCCAAGGCCTCAAAGAATTCCTACAGTTCAAGTTCTAAAAAACTCAAATTTATTGTCAAAAATTACAAAACAAAGAAAAAAGCACTATGAGAGAGACAGCAGAAACAGACAGCAGCATCAGACACACAAAATCCATGGATATCAGAATTATGAGACATAGAATATAATAACTATATTTAATATTTTATATATTTAAAGACTAGTAAAAGGAACAATTTAAAATATGATTAAGGAACTGAGAATTATTTAAAAATTGAGATTTGAAAAGTAATTAAATAGAACTCAAAATAATAACAATAGTAAAAAATAATAATACTTGAAATAAACTGAAGACAGAACTAGTGACATGGAAGAGGAACCTGAAGAAATTACTCAGAAGGTGGCATAAAGAGAAAAGCGATTGAAAATATGAAAAGAGGGCGAGAGAAATGGAGGACAGAAGAGAGAAATCTCATTCTAGTAACTAATTAGAGGTCCAGAATGTGAGGACTGAGAACATGGGGGAAAGAGAATATTAAAAGAGATGATGGCTGATAATTTTCCAAGGTTGATGAAAAAAAAATCCACTCTAGGCTGGGCGCAGTGGCTCACGCCTGTAATCCCAGCACTTTGGGAGGCCAAGACGGGTGGATCACGAGGTCAGGAGATCGAGATCATCCTGGCTAACACAGTGAAATCTCGTCTCTACTAAAAAACACAAAAAATTAGCCGGGCGTGGTGGGGGGCACCTGTAGTCCCAGCTATTCAGGAGGCTGAGGCAGGAGAATGGCGTGAACCCGGGAGACGGCGCTTGTAGTGAGCCGAGAACACACCACTGCACTCCAGCCTGGGAGACAGAGCGAGACTCCGTCTCAAAAAAAAAAACAAAACAAAAAACAACAATGCACTCTCAGTTTCAGAAAGTCCAACAAATCCCAAACAGAATAAAAGAAAATCACATTTTGATATACTATAGTGACTGCAGAACACCAAAGACAAAGATGAGGTCTTAAAAGCATTCAGAAAGCCCATGTTCTCTAAATCATGTGTGACTAATTCTCTCCAAAGTAAAGCTACCTTGACTGCGGTTGAAGACTGCGGTATAAGATGCTGACCACTAAACAATACTTGCTTCTTATGGTTTTTTTTCTTCATTTCCTTTTAAATATCCTAAAAGAAGGTTAGGCAGGGTGGCTCATGCCTGTAATCCCCAGCACTTTGGGTTGCTGAGGTGGGTTGATTGAGCTCAGGAGTTCAAGACCAGCCTGGGAAACATAGAGAAACCCTATCTCTACTAAAAATACAAAAAACAAACAAACAAAAAAGTCAGGCGTGGTGGCACGTGCCTGTGGTCCCAAAGCTACTTTGGAGGCTGAGGTGGGAGGATTACTTGAGCCCAGGAGGCAGAGGTTGCAGTGAGCCAAGATTGCCTCACTGCACTCCAGGCTAGGTGACAGAGCGACACCCTGTCCATAGAAAAACAAAAAACAAAAAACAAACAAAAAACAACAAAAAAAAAGTAAAAGGTTTATTTCACTGGTTATAAAAAGGGTTAAAAAAGTGTAATTTAAAAAAATAAAAACTACAAATCTCCCTATTACCAGAACTGCACAGAAATAAGGGATGGGACGAAAGGAAACAGCCGTTTAGTACAAAAAAATAAATCACTGGATTTGTTTATTAGTTAGCAAACAGACTGAGCAAAGGGAGGGGAAAGGATACCCACTTGCAGTTGGTACAGGTGTAGAAGACGGTTTGCCCTTCATCGGCTGAACGCATCTGTCTGGTGTGGTATGCCATTCCTTCATGACCACATCGAGGGCAGCGCCTGTCAACCTGGGAAGAAACTGGTGGGTTATGGAGGCCTGGTCATATCATACCCTTACTTCCCACAGGAATCAGGCGATCACGCCTCTCAAACATCGATGCTTTACATCTTTTCTCACTTGGAATTGGGCACAAAACTCTCCAGATCTCTGCAATCACTCCTCCATTTCTTTCCTACCCACCTTATGGAGCCAGTTCTTGATCTCATTAACTTACCACAGGTCCCTGGCACTCAGGCCCTTCCTCCACCGACATAGGCATGGCTGTCCCCAGTTGGTGGAACACAACTGAAGTCTTCACAACCTTCCCCTCAAAGTCTGCACAGGCAAGTAAGACGGGTTATGGAGACAACCTGAGGGAGCTGACACCGGAAACTTCCCCTCTCCCCTGGCTGGTTAGGCCAGGAGGCCCTATATCCTTTCCCTCAGTTTTCATCGCTGGACCAAATGTGCAACTGCCTGATGCCCTGCTCTAGGATCCCCTCCTCAACCCAACCGATCTTGAGTTCCCCAAGCTTCCGATCCTGGGCCCTCCGCCAGGACCCCTGCGTACAAGCCTCTCACCCCGAACGTTGATGTTGAAGCCACAGCGAGTACAGGT